TTTTCTCTGACGCCCCCATCTTCCCCATCATTGGATCTAGTCCAGAATAGCCTGCTGATCTGAGTTGTATTACAGGACGTCTAGCTCACTGGAGATTCTCTGTCCTTGTCAGAAACCGTTTCAGCTCTCTCTTGAAACAGTTCAGCAGACATTCACTACACAAGCCAGCAGCTTATTTCACAGCCCCAATACTCTCCAGCATAAAGGGCCATTTAATTCTAATGTAGTTTTACCCTTGTAGCCATGACCCCTGGTCTCCTCTTAACAATTCCATTTGAAATGATTTGCCCCTGTAAATATTATGTGACACTACTTTATTCTGTAATCTTGATCATACCAATCCTGAGGCTTCAAGAAGTTATACAGGCCCAGCATTTTCAGTCTATCTGCATTACTAAGATGTTGTAAAATTGACACTAATCTTGTGACTCTCCTCTGGATCCTTACCAAAGCTTCAATATTTCCCAGTTGGTGGGAAGAAATAAATTGGGTACTGCATGCTAACTGTGAGGCCTAACCAAGGTCTTGTCCAAAAACAAAATGTGCATTGTGATTTGTCCTGTGACTACAAACTGGTACTTTAGGTTCACACTGTTGGCCCACAAACTTTAGTATGCGATGCACTCTACTATTTAGACCTCTTTCATTCACCTCTGGCTTCCATTTTATCCCCTGAGATGTTTGAGTATTTAGCTTTTTGCAATTCCTGGTAGACAGTCTTACCAAGTTATCTTCATCCTCTGACCTTGTGATTCCCTCAACAAAGATTCTCTCAAATTCCTAAGAGACCGCCTTGTTTCCCTGAATGTGTTCGATGTCCTTTAGAAGGTCTTCCTTTGTCTAGGAAGTGCTATAGAATATCTCTTATACCTATGAGTGGCTTGCCTATTACTGAAGTACTCTCAAATTAGCTCTTGGCTGTTTTCTTTTATTGAGGCTATAGTAATAATTAGAATTGATGATAGAAAGTGAGAAAAAGCCATAATTTATTTTTAAGGCTCAATTTGCATTCTTAAAAGCCACTCATACTTTTGCCTCCTCATTTACAACAGCTTTAAAATTTGTCGATTTAAATCACAGCTACGCTGTTCCTAGCCGTCCATTCTTCTACGTTATCATGCTGCTTCGAGCACCGGTACTATTTGTTTCTGACAGGAGGATAATGTAGCACCTTGATGTGACACGGTCAGTAAATAAAACCAATTAGTACAAATGTTAGCATGCCAGGATGTATTTTTTTAGAAGAGATGAAGTGCAGTTGTTAAAATAAACAACCGCCACCTGTCCCCCTCCTTGATTCAGGGTTTTTTCTTTGCAATTACAGTTGCTTGCAGTTAGATGAATAATCTCTTGACGATACAATTTTGTTCTAACATGTGGAACAATTCTGAAGTCTAGATACAGCTGGCTAACAAGGAAGGCTGTGCCAAGTTTTACTGTGTGGCCTGGAAAGATTCAGGCTTTAATTGCCACATGCAGTTTTTGTATAAAATGTATCATTTTGTTATGTATCTCTTAAGGTTGTCTATATGAGCAAAGTAAAGCTAACCTCAAGTGCAGGAGTTCCTCAAGGTAGTGTTGTCAGCCCAACCACCTTCAGCTGATTCATGCATGACCTTCTCTCCATCATGAGGTCAGAGATAGGAATGTTCACTGAGAATTGAGTACTTTTCAGCACCATTGTGTTTCCTGATAACGAAGCATTCCATGTCCAAATGAGGGAAGACAATGACATTCAGGCTGATAAGCAGTAAGTAATATTTATGCTGCAATTAATATGCCAGACAGTCTCCAACAGGAGAAAATCCTACCATAGCGCTTGATTTAATGATATTGCCATTGGTGAATTCCCCACTGTCAACATTCTGGGGGCTAACATTGACCAGAAACTGAATTGGACCAGCCATCTAAGTGCAGCCACTACAAGAACAGGTCAGAGACTCAGAATTCTGTTGAGTATAACTAACCTTCTGAATTCTCAAAGCCAGTAAAATTGACTAGATGAGGTAGTGGCACAGTGGAAATGTTACTGGGCTAGTAATCTAGAACCCCAGGTAATATTCTGGATATATGTTTGAATCCATGGAAGTTGGTGAAATTTGAATGGAATAAAGCCCAAACACGTCGCGGTAACCATATAAACACTCAGTTATCTCCTTCTTTAATGTCCTTCCTTACCTGGTCTGGCCTACATGTAACTCTAGCAATGTGGTTGAATCTTTGCCTTTCCCTGGTATGTAACAGATGATCCATCTCAGCTGTCTCCTGAGGTCCCCAGCATTGCAGACACAGGTCTTCAGCCAATTTGATTCGCTGCGCAAGATATTGAGAAATGGCTGGAGCATCGGATACTACAAAGGCTGTGGGCCAGGACAGCATTCTGGGATCATAACCAAAGGCTTGTGTTCCAGACCACTCAGTTGTATCAAACCAATGCAGAGTCTAAATAAAGGAATGAAACCAGGCACACCAACTGGCATCAAAGTATGTACCAGAAGCTAAACGACAAACACAGACCTATTGACCCTGCAAAATTCCTGCTTGCCAGCATCTAGGTTCTTGTGGAAAAAAATCAAAAGAGCTGTCCCATAGACTAGTCTATCAACAGCCTGACATAGCCAGAATCTCATAATCATACGGACATAATGCCCCACACCACAGTGCCACCACGTATGGTGGATCGTAATTATCACATGCAGTCAGGAGTCGCACTGAGAGACCTCAGCACTGACTCGGTAATCAATGATTATCACCTCTCTGCTGACGAATCAGATTATGCACTGTGGGTGTCAAGTGTGCAACAGGTACTCTGGGTGGGAGACTTTAATACCCATCATCGAGAGTGACGTGGTAACACAATTACTGACCTAACTGGTCAAGTCACAAAGGGCATGGCTGCTAGACTGGGTCTGTAGCAGATGGTGAGGGAAAATCTACTTCACTACCTCCTTGCCAGTCTACCTGTCACAGTTGCGTTTGTCCATTATAGTATCAGTTGGAGTGATCACCTTTGGAGACAAGTCCCATCTTCACATTGATAATACCCTCCATTCTGTGTAGTGCTACCACCATGCTAAGATCTTGACTAGATCTAGCAACTCAAAACTGGGCATTCATAAATTGTACTCCATCACAACCTGTAACCTCTTGGCCTAGCATATCCCACCCTGTCATGATACTGGGTGAGGAACCCTGGTTCAGTGAAGAGTATAGGATGGCATAGCAGGAACAGTACCAGGCATACCTAACAATAAGATGTCAACTGGTGAAGCTATGGTACAGGACTACTTATGTGCCAAACAGTATAAGCAGTGTGCAGTAGATAGAAATGGTCCCACAACCAGTGGATAAGACCTAAACTTGATAGCCCTACTACATCCAGCCATGAATAGTGGTGGACAACTAAAACACTGACAGGAGATGGAGATTCCACACGTATCCCTATTCTGTTCGAAAGGAGATCTAAGAATGCCAATGCAAAAGACAAGGCTAAAGTATTTGCTATCTGAAGCCAGAAGTACCGAGAGGATGACCTATCTCTGCCATCTCCTGAGGCTCCCAGCATCACAGATGCCAGTTTTCAGCCAGTTTAATTCACTCCACGTGATGCCAAAAAGTGGCTGAAAGCACTGAATGCTACAAAAGCTATGGGCCCTAACAACATTCCAGCTGCAGTACTAAAGACTTGTGATCCAGAACTAGCTGCACCCTTAACCAACCTGTTCCAGTACATCTACAACATAGGCATCAACCTGACAATGTGGAAAATTGCCCAGATATGTACACAAAAAAGTGACAACTCTAACTGGGGTAATTATTGCCCTATCAAACTATTCTCGATCATCAAGTTGGCGAATACGTTACAACGTTACAATCAAGTGCTACGTGCAAAGGGATACCTGCTTGCTGAAGCTCAGCGCCTCTTGGCTCCTAACCTCATTACAACCAAAGATGGACCAAAGAGCTGAACTCAAAGTGAGGCGTGAGTGATTGCCTTTGATATCAACGCAATGTTTGAATGAACATGGCATTAAGGAGCATCTGCAAAACTGCAGTCACTAGGATTCAAGAAGAAATCTATCTGCTGTTTGGAGTCAGACCTGGCACAAAGATAGCTGTAATTTGTGCAGGTCAATCATCTCATTCTCAAGGTGTCACTGTAGGAGTTCCTCAAGGTAGTGTCCGAGTCTGAGCTACTTCATCATAATCCATTGTAAGGTCAGAGGTAGAGTTCGCTAATGATTTCATGAATGTTCAGCACCAGTTAAAACTTCTCTAATATTGAAGCAGTCTGTGCTCATATGCAACAAGTCCAAGACAATTTGCAGGCTTGACCTGATATGGGGCAAGTAATATTCATGCTGCAAGTGCCAGGCAATAACCATTTCCAAAAAGAGAGAATCCAACAGTTGCCCATTAACATCCAATGGCGTTACCATTGCTGAATCCCCCACTGTCAACATTCTAGAGGTTACTATTGACCAGAAACTGAACTGGACTGGCTTTATATATACTATGGCTACAAAAGCAGTTCCCACAGTAAGTAACTCATTTCCTAGGAATCTGCAGCACGCAATTGATCTGTTTCCCTGATGCCTGTCCACCTATATATTCTTTGCTGACTTGGAAAGAATAAAATAAAACAAGAACCAGATTTCAGATCTCGGCATATTGATTTTGTTTGTGTTTTGGGAGAGGGGTAGTGATTTATGAAAAGTGAGAAACTGGGTGATGACATTTGGCTGGCTAGCTAGCTGAAAGAAATTTCCCTTGTCAGTATATTTTTCAGAATAGGGCAGGCTGTATCCTTGGAGAAGTCTTCAGATCAAGACCATCTGCAGAAAGAAGCAAGCTACTGGGAGTTAGCAGTTGGGACTTTGGAAGAGTGAAATAATGATGACCTAACTATATGTCTCCACTCAACACCACCACAAAATGTACATTTATGCCCCAAGTTTTGTTATCTTACTCCTTGAACATACTTTCTTTTCCTCTTTCAGCTAACTGCTAATAGGAAGCCCAAGAAGAATATTCAGGATCCTTGTTTCAACTATTCCAACTACCAGCCAGCGGAAACAGACATTGATGATTCGGAATTTTCACACATTGTCGAGATCTATGATTTTCCTGCAGGATTTAAGACTGAGGATTTGCTGCAAGCTTTCTCCATTTATCAGTATGTATCTAGCCATACGATTAATAGGGCGGGTGTGTTTTGGACTCCTTGGCTAGCTGCCCGGTTAACCCAATAAAATACCCACAAGTTGCGTATCTGACTCACTCTTCTATTGTTTCGTGTCTAATATTATCATTGTAACTCCATATTTCATGCAGATCACTGAGCACTTTGCAGTGAGCTGGGAAAACTGCCTCCTGTTGTCTACTTAGGGCAAAGAATTGACCATTCTAATTCTAAGTCAAGGACACGAGAAGATCCCAAACTTAATTCATGACCTAGATGGAATCAGCTGATCTTAACAGGCGGAGCAGTTGGAGTTTTATAGTTGTACGTTCAGAGGGTAAGAATGGGGAAAAGCGAGCAGAGTTGTTTATTGCTGATGGCCTTTGTTGTATGGGCTTTGGATAAGCTCTGTATTAGACTCAGCCATGGAAGGTCAATCAACTCAATTGGCTGGAGGGGTGGTTTGTGATTCAATGATGCCAAAAGTGCAGGTTCAGTCCCTATACCAGTTGAGGTCAACATGCAGGCCTCAACAGTTTTCACCCTCGCCTGAGACTTGACCCTTGGTTAATCCATCACCAGTCATCTCTCTAATGGCAGAGCAGCCTGTGGTCCTCAGGACCATGCTGATTTTCACTTCATGAGACTCCGCTACGGTGCCTTCTGAGGAGATGTCCACTGCACTGCCTTATGTGAGAACAATGACTACATAGCTGGGTATGGAGGACTGTAGGGGCCAGTCATGCTAATACTCTTGCATAACTTGGCATCTTCAGGATAAGTAGAGAACAAAATGAAGTTTGTTTGGGGTTTGTGAGAAGGAGTTGAATAAGAGTGAACAAGTTGAATTATTATGTCTTTAGAACTGTGACTGCACAGTAATTACCCACATCTAAAATGCAAATGGAAAATAAAGTGCAGAGTCCTTTTCAATAGCATTGAAAGGATTTCATTTCTTGTACTTTGGAAAAAAGGTAATCCTCATTGCTGTCTTCAGGTCCCTGTAGCTTTGCCATACCCTGTTTCTGCAGCCTTCTCCAACCCTTATTCAACCATATCTTGTACTCTTCCAATCGTGGTCGGTTTTGCTCCTCTTCTTGTTTTGTTAATGGTCACAAAAATTTCATCTATCCTTCAAACTTGATCTCAGTCCCTAGATGCCATTAACCTTTTTCACTACTGGCAAAAATTATCTCAAACCTTATTTGTGAACTCCTGGCAGAGCCCCTCTGAACACTAACCTGTGAGAGTAAATGTGATACCTTGCTTTCATGAACTTAAGCTTCCACTTAATTTTGCTCCTGCCTTCTGTGGAACTGCCTAATAACCAGTTAGCATCCTTCACTTCATGGCACAACTGTGATTGGTTTTGTTGAAAACCAGGCATTCGTACAGACTTTCCTCTGTACTGTTTTAAAAGACCTTGCATTTCACTTGTGATTAGTACATATAATTTTCTTGTTTGTATGGCATTCAGTCACTGGTCTAATTGGCTGTGTTCAAGGTGTACCATAGACATCTGATCTGAAATAATTGAATGGTATAGTTAGTAATTTATAGTAAACTATTTTTTGTGTGAATCTGATTTTCATTTAGACTGTAGCCTTCAGGACCAGAGGGCAAAACCTTTCATCAGTACACACTTGAAACTCTATGTTGTAGTTTGTTTTAATGAATGCAGCTTAGATTTGGAGGTGGATTCTTTTGAAAGTCTAGATAACTGATCCTGGAGAAAAGGCCTTCTCACTAGAACTCTGCATTAATGTAGAATTCAACAGATATTAAATTCTGACATTTTTAATATTTGAACTTAATTTTTGGCAGGTATAGTGTATGTTACAAAAAACAGCTGATATTGACTCTTCATAAATCTACCATTCATCTCCTGAAGATGATTTATTATCCCATATTTGGCTGGGCTTATTGCTGTGAAGAGAAAAATCTGAAAAGCTAGGCTCATTAACTTGTATCCGAAGCAACACAAGTATTACTGACCATTAGATTGGAGTACTAACCCTTGCCTGGCCAGATAAGCAGCAAGGTCAAATAATTAGGACCACAAGGACAGCAACAGAAGCTTGGCTTCAACTCTCCTGCCTCCTATCCTTACAATAAAATTGATTTGTTAATAGATCAGGTTCAATTATTTTGTTGGCTTTTAAAAACGCACCATAGACTGGCAGTCATATCTGCGACATTGATAATATCAAATTTTCAAAACTTCATTTTCAGGCAGCCTATGCAGTTTGTTTTCTTAAAATTGCCTCCTTCTCTACAATCTTTCTGTCTCACCAAAGCCTGTCCACCATCTAGAAGGTGCAACTCCAGAGTGTGATGGAATACTCCCCACTTGATTGGCTGGGTGTAGCTCCAAGAACACACAGGCTTAACACCATCCAGGACAAAGCAGCCTGCTTGATTGGCATCATAACCATTATCTTCAACCTTCACTCCCTCCCTTCATGGACACTGTGGCAGAAGTGTGCACCATCTACAAGATGCATTGCAGGACCTCATAAAGCCAATTTCAAGAGCTCCTTCCAAACCTGCAACCTCCTCCACTTAGCAAGACAAGGGCAGCAGATGCATTGCAGCACCACTACCTGCAAGCTACCTTCCTTGCTTGGAACTAAATCGGCATTTCATCATGCTCTGGGTTAAAATCCTGAAGCTCCCTCCCTCACAGCACAGTTGGTGTCACTACAGTAGGTCAAGAAAGCAACTCACTGACACCCTCCATGTCAAATGGGATTGGGCAATAAATGCTGGCCCAGTCAGCAATGCTCACATCCTATGAATAAATAAATAAAAATCATAGTGGCATGTTAAAAATAAGTGGGAAAATAAATATTTTCCATTTAGAGTTGAAAACATCAATATTAGTAGGAGCACAAGTAAAATTGAAGTCAACAGAGAGAAGACTGAGAAAAGAGCAGGATGCACCATTGTAAAGTATTTAGTTTTATTTCACATTTATGTGAAACTCTCTTGGATATTCACTTCCTCCATGTGCAAAAAATATTTTGATTTGCTTTTACATTATCACAAGCAGGTAACAAGGTGAAAATTAATTTTCCTGCTTCATTAAGAGCATGTATCTGGTACATTATCTGTTGGAATTTATATACTTTACATGGTAAGATGGTTGATGGATTAGCTGATTTATTTACTTTGGAACCTCCATTTTATGAGAAACAGCAAAGTGAGATCATAAGTGACCTAGATCCTCATTCTCTTTATCCACTTTGGCTCCAAATCCTTTGACACCAGGACTGGCTTAGCTAGAAATCTCAAATAAAATTAGTAAGCTATTATCTACTGTCTGTTTTGTGATAGACAGTTTCATATTTCTGCTTCCTGTACATTGTGGATTTTTCCAACCTTTTTCCTGAATGGGGGCTCCGATTTTACTTTAGCAAGTCCTTTGATAAGATCCCACATGGCAGGCTGCTACAAAAGATGAAGTCACATGGGATCTGCAGTGAGCTGGTAAAATGGATACAGAGCTGGCTTAATCATAGAAAACAGAGAGTATCGGTGGAAGGGTGTTTTTCTGACTGGAGATCTGTAACCAGTGGTGTTCTGCAGGGATCAGTGCAGGAACCCTTGTTGTTTGTAATATACATAAACGATTTGGATGAAAATGTAGGTGGCATGATTAGTCAGTTTGTAGATGACACAAAGATTGGGGGAGCTGTGGATAATGAGGAGGATTGCCAGAGGATAGACAGAATATAGACAGGCTGAAGACTTGGGAGAAATGGCAGGAGGAGATTAATCTGGACAAATGTAAGATGATGCATTTTGGAAGATCTAATGCTAGAGGGAAGTCTCCAGAAAATGGCAGAACCCTTAGTATCATCAACATACAAAGGGCTTTGGATGTACAGGTCTGTAGTTCCCTGAAACTGGCAAAACAAGTGGATAAGATGGTCAAGGTGGCACATGACATGATTGCCTTCATCAGTCAGGGCAGAGAGTATAAAAATTGCCAAGTCATGTTGCAGTTGTGTAGAACTTTAGTTTGGCCAAATTTGGAATATTGTGTACAGTTCTGGTCACACAGTACCAGAAGGACGTGGAGGTTTTGGAGAGGGTACAGAAATAATTACCAGAATGTTTCCTGGTTTGGAGGGTATTAGCTAAAAGGAAAGATTGGACCGGCTTAGTTTGTTTCCACTTGAATGTCAAAGGATGAGGGGGCAACCTGATAAAAGTTTACAAAGTTATCAGAGGCATGGATAGAATGGACAGTTGAAGTCTTTTTTGCAGGGTAGAAATGTCAATTACTAGGGGACATGGGCTTAAGATAAAAGGGGATAAGTTCAAAGGAGATGTGACAGCTAAGTTTTTTTTTTACACACAGGGTAGTAAGTGCCTGGAATGCGCTGCCAGACGAGGTGGTGCAGGTGGATACAATAGCAACGTTGAAGACAAATATTGACAGATATATGAATAGGCAGGAAATAGAGGGATATAGACTGCATAAAGGCCAAAAGGTTTTTATTCAGAAAGGCATTATGTGTTGGTGCAGTCTTGGTGGACAAGGGGCCTGATCCAGTGTTGTACTATCACATTTCAACAATCTGTGCTGTAATTGCGCAATGAGGATGCAGGGTTCAACCAGAATTGGACTTTGAAGGAATAAGCTACCAGCCTCTGATATCAAGGTTGCAAGTGCTCCCACTTGAACTCAGCTAACCTGCAAGTTTATCAATAAACATGTGACTCTTGAACTGTTGGATCACTGAATATATGGATTTATTTGAGTCTTTAGAAGGTTCCCTTATGAAATTTGCCACTTTTGGGCATCCATGTGGAAAAGGTCTGCATCAACAACTTCAACGCATTTAAAAATTGACACATCAGATTTTCAACTGTGTTTAGGGATATTCTTCTTTTGAACATTTGCACACATTGAATCAACAGTTTCCAAGCCATTCCAAACAATGAATTGTTCCTGGAAACTGGCGACTGTTGCAATCGGTAAATGC